AAAGAAAGAAAGAAAGAAAGAAAGAAAGAAAGAAAGAAAGAAAGAAAACCAGGAACAAAACAAAACTCCCTAGCCCTTCGCAGGAATGTTATAACCAAAGCTTTTTATGTCGATAACAGCCAGCGAAGCACTCTCTCTTCATCTCTCATGCAGAAATCTCCTCTTTTTTTTTTCCCTTCCCCTTTTCTCACTGGAGAATTCTCCATCGATTGAGAGAAGGAAAGAGAGGCAGGACTGCTGTGAGTTCCCCGGAGAAGTTCAATAAAGCAGACCTTGATCATAAAGGAGAATCTAAGGGCAACTAGGAAAAGTTGGCTCAAAGCACCAGCGTCTGCTATGAACAGAAGATGGTTTTAGCTCGTGGCTCTCTTTTCCCGTCAGCAGCAGGAACAGACACACAAACCACAACTGTCAAATGCCAGTCGGGGGGTCTTCAGAAGCCCATTCCCTCTTGGCTTGTGGTTCCCTTGTCCTCTTGAGATGAGGAGCTGATCTGCTCCTTCTCTTGAAAAGGTTTCACACGCTGGAATCGGTAGTCGCGATGGGCCATGCTCAGGGGTAGGCTTCCAAAATTTTAGCAAAGGGTTCTCTGCCCGGTTGCTGGTGGGCATGGTCATGGTGGGTGTGGCCTAGTCAGCCTCCTGCACCACAGCGGGGGGAGACATTTTTGCCCTCCCCGGACTCCGGAGGCTTTCCTCGAGCCTGCTGGAGAGTGAAAACGGCCTCCCCGAGCTCTGGAGGCTCCCTGGAAGCTGGAAACAGGCCCATTTCCGGCCTTCCCGAACTTCCGGGAGGCCCATTTTTCACCCTCTCCAAGCCTCTGTATGTGCCCTGCCCTTACCTGCATCCAAAATTGGCCGTGTGGGGACTCCTGGGTGGGGCGGGGCGGGGTGGGTGAGGCCAGCCAGGCGTGGGATTTGGGGGGGGTTCTTTGAATTGCACAGAATCTTAGCTAGGGAGTCTCTCGTGCTTTCAGCTGAAGTCGCCCCGCAGAATTTTGGGGACAATCCCATATCAGATAAGCGTTTCTGTTGAAGCTGATGTGAGAGAGGAGGAAAGACAGGGACCTATAACCGTAAAGCTATCATCTAGCAAGCTATCATCTATTTAACTATCATCATCTATCATCTATCTATATCCATCTAACTATCATCATCTATCTATCATCGTCTATCAATCAATCAATCATCTAGCTCTCTAGCTATCCTCTATCCATCTATCTACCCTCTATTTAACTGCCTGTCTGCCTGTCTATCTCTCTATTACCTATCATCCCTCTGTCTCTCTATCAGATGAGATCCTTTGGGGAAGATGCAAGGCCAAGGACCTCCATCTGGTGGCACAGTCTTAGCAGTGCTAAGGAAGGCCCAGCCTCCCCCTCTCCCCGTTTCCACCTGCCCTTCCCAGTTTTCCCGCAGAGGCAGCCTCTTATTTCCCTCTCAGCCCTCCCAGCAATCTTTGTGGACGGCCTGTGCTCTGTGTGAACAAAGCCAGGAGACGAATAGAAAACACGGCAAAGGCACATCACCTAGGTAGAAAATTTGAATTCAAAACGTTTTGCAGAAGATGCCATTAAAGCGGCCCTCTCCTCTTCTCTCTCTCCTTCTCTCTCCCTTCTCTCTGTCTCCCTCTCTCAGTGTGTGTGTCTCTCTCTCCGTCTCTCACTCTTTCCCCTTCTCTCTCCCTCTCTTTCTCTCTCTTCTCTCTCTCCCTCTCTCCCCCGCTCTCTTCTCTTTCTCTTTGTGTCTCTCTCTCCCCTCTCTCTCCCCGTCTCTCTCTGTCCCTCTCTCACTCTTTCCCCCCTCTCTCTTGTCTCTGTCTCTCTCCCTCTGTCTCCCTCTCTCCCTCCTTCTCCCCGTCCCTCCCTCCCCCTCCCTCTCTCTCTGTATATATGCATGAAAGCATCAACATGGAAATCTCCAACCGCTTAAACAGTTTGATAGAGTCTCGCCTTTCTGCCATCCATGCCCCCAGCGGTGTTGCTTAGCAACATTTTAATTCAAGAAGAATGGAAGGAGATGAAAGTCCCTGTAGAGAGAAACAGAAATAAGAAGGCCGTTGACAGATGATCTGAGTTGTTTCTTCTAATATACTGTGAGGATCACCAGGTCTTTTCATGAATGATAAATGGACTGTATACAGATCAATGGATCCTAATAATAATAATAATAATAATAATAATAATAATAATAATAATAGGTTGGTTTTTTTGTGTTTTTAAAAAACCAAAACCAGGTTCAATCACTAAAGCAGCACAGAAAGCACTGGAGGGGTCGTCATTTAGAAAATTCGGAGTGTGTTTTCTCTCGGAAGGGTTTCACTGGGAGAAACCGATCTGAACATTTGGCGCTTTTTGCGCTCTTTTTTATTTTTATTTTTTTAGCTGCTGGCTGATCAAAACAGCTTGGAGGCAAAAGCTGCCCGGTCCCCTGTTCAATGATATTTATAATTTTTCCTGATCTTGTTTTAAGGCCAACAATAGTGAAGTTAATATTAATTTCATCGCTGTGGAAATTGCTCTGAGTGAATTTGGTTTGGATCAGCGTGTTGTTGCTCTTTCTGGAGCTAAATAGAATAGAATAATCTTTATTGGCCAAGTGTGATTAGACAGACAAGGAATTTGTCTTGGTGCAAATACTCTCAGTATACATAAAAGAAAAGATACATTCGTCAAGAATCATAAGGTACATTAGGAACAATCAGAGAAATGTCTTTGCATCCAACTCTCCTTAAATTCAGACATTCATATAAATATAACACACACACACATCTATACCTTATATTTATGTGTGTGTGTATGTGTGTGTATATTATATATACCTACTTACTAAACTTCCTCTTATCTCTCCCTCTCTATCATCTCTCTATCCAACACAGACACACATTTATACACATATACATACACATGTACATATACATGTACATCTATGTGTGAATAGATAGCTAGATGAGTGTCTGTGTGCGTGTGAGAGAGAGAGATAAGAGAAAGATTGGTAGGAAGGAAGGGAGGGAGGGAGGGAGGGAGGAAGGAAGGAAGGAAGGAAGGAAGGAAGGAAGGAAGGAAGGAAGGAAGGAAGGAAGGAAGGAAGGAAGGAAGGAAG